AAGTGAGTAATGAAACACGACCTGTGTGAAAGTGTCTCAAACCGTCTTCCACTGCATCCACCCTCACTACTCACTCCCTTTTCCTAACTTAATGAGGAAAACGTGTTGGGAAAACAAGCTAACCAGGATGCTTTAGAGCTACTCAGAGGAGAGAGGTAGTTGGGCCTTCTACAAGTCAGCAGTCTGGGAAGTAGAAAAGTTCCTTTTTAAAGTTTCCTTTCTTGTTAAAGGATAAGTGTGCTAATAACTTTGTGAAGCCCTATCCTATGTAGCTGTTAGACATGCCATGCTTACAGGCACGTAGCACATTCTATGTCCTTGTACTTTAACCAAAATATATGTGCTGCATGTGCTCACAGGCATGTTCCAGATCTCCATTGCTTTTAGCTGTTTAGAAAAGTTTTAAGTTGTTAGCCAATCGGGTTTTAGTTTAGATTGTGAGGTCTGGCTCCAGCCAATGGAGATCAGACACAGCAGTAAGGATGACCCCAAATGTGTATGGGAAAAATTTGTGTTTTTTTCCTTTGTTCATTGTACTCTCGTGGCAAGATGGCTAGCGAGAGTGCCCTTCCTGAAGTCCAGGAAGTAAAAGTTGCATTGCTGAAAGATTCTTTGTCTTAGTGCTAATTTTTCTTGGCAGCACCGAGCATCTATTTCCAACAACAGTGTGGCAGCTCACTCTGCCCCAGCCACAGCTCTGCTTCTAAAGTAAAACCAAATGGAAACCCTGACATTAGCAGAGGCCTTTACCATCAAGCTTGGTGGGGACCAATGAGGCATTTGCTATCTGACTTGACCGTGAAAGAGAGGCCTGGCCGTGGAGAGGGAGTTGGATATGGAGAACTGGGGGTCTAGCTCAGGTGAGCGTTGTGGGAATCCACATCAAGAAGGAGGCAGGGTTGGTATCCAGGAGTGAGAGTCCTTGGAAGGCTGTGTTTCACTGACCATGCAGGTGCTTTGGAATAAAAAGCAGCGTGGGCACCAGAGCTCTGGAGCTGTGTGCCTCCCCTCCTGGCCTCACCATGACCCGCCCTGCCCTTCTCCACGACCTGTTCCTGCCACCCTTTGCCTCCTGGTAGCAGCTGCCAATTCTTTTCCTCTATGCTATACATATTTTTACACCTCTTTTCTGTATTCCTTCTAAACTAAGTTGGAGCCGCCGGATGCCAACCTCCTGCATCTGTGCAAGAAACCTGAACCTCCCACTTTCCATTCCCCAACCAGGCCAGTGTGGCACCAACGGGGCTCTGGCCAAGGACTCTGGCTTGCTATGAAGAAGTGAACAACGGGGGAGCCATCCCAGGGGGTTACACACAGGGGCTATTTCTGCCCATGTATCTGACACTGACCCTAGGCCTATTCGTACTTCATTTTCTTCATTTGAAAAATGAGGCTACTAATGGGATCTATTGCACAGGGTTGTTGTGAGGCACATATGAGTTTATATGTGTAAGTGCTAAGCAGAGGACCTGGTACCACATGGTATGCTCTTGATGTGTCCCCAATTCTCAATCTGTCACTGTTCCTTCCCCACATTCCATTTAGGGTGAAGAAAAAATTTACCAGCATGACCTCCAGAGACCTGCCTCATCTGTCACTTTCCTACTTCTCTGGCTCCCTGCACCCACTGTTTATGCCTCCTGAAATGCTCCTGTCAGTCCTCTCCACAGGGACCTGCTCCTTCCAAGGCATAGGACTTTGCCCACACCACGCCCTCTGCCTGGAAGGCTATCTCCTCCCCCATGACTGATTCTCACTCACAGGTCTGACCTCAACTCAGCCATTGCTTCCTCTGGGAAGCCTCTGATTTCACCAACTTGGCCCTCCAGCCAGCTCCCTAGCAGCTCTTAGGGAAGTTGGAATGCGGTGTTAGTATGTGAGATTCGATCCGCTTGTCACCCTGTGGCTCCAGGCTCAATGAAGGCATGTGCAGCCCCTGCTGCCCTGTCTGTTCTATGTCTGGCCCCTAATGTAATGCCTTTTGCATGGATCCCAAAAAATATATGTTGAATGAATGAGTGAATGAATGCGTTAGGGAATGCATGCTCACTTTGCTTTTCTTCTATATCTCGAACCAAGCAATTGAGAACAAGAATCTTTTCTTTCCCATTGCAAGTCACCAAACATGATGGAAAGCCTCCCTCTAGCATGGCTGTCCTTAAGTTTCTGCTCCCTTGGGGCTCCTAATGGCTTCAGAATCCCCTACGGACTCACTCTGCTGGGCACGCGGTCTGAAACCCAAGAGACTCAGGCAATACCCAATTAGCCGGCCAGCCGCTGCACGCCACAGGTGTTGGTGGTCCCTTCTGAGATGGGGGTGCCTCCTGTACTTCATCCACCAGTAGGCTATTACCAATTTCCACCCCCTAGTTTTCCTGGGCTTAATCCTGTTCCTGGCACAGATGTGAATTGTGCTTTAGTAGTTATAGGCACAGAGGATTTTTCTGATCCTTCGAAGGTAAGGAGACACATGGGCTGAAAACGAGCCAGGCCTGGCTCCTTCTAGGAGCTTTCAGAGGGCAAAATGCAGCCAATCGGCCAAGACCCCCTGTCCATCCACACATTTATCCGGGCACTTGCCACCCGTGGCCCCTCAGCTTGTCTTGCCAGTGGGCTGTGAGGTGTTGCTGCCTCTCAGGCCTTGCTTCTCTCTGCACATTTGTTCTGCTCGTCTCTTGCTATGGAGTGATTTCTTTATTCTGTGTTTTTAGTGGGATGTAAAGAGAAGCTGGGCCCCAACACAGGCTCTGCTATCTTCAGCTGCCTGGCGTTAGGTGTGGGGATGGATCACATGGACTGAACATGTCCCCTCTGCCACCCCTTCAGCAGGCACAGGGGAGGGCACTTTCCTGTACAAAAGTTGTTGGCGTGGCAGGCAGCACCATCAAATTCAATGGTCTGTGGAGCCCAATGCTTCCATAATAAACTTTTCTTCTAATCTTTTACAGAGTTCTCTGGAGTTAGAGAACCAGTATGACATACATTTTAAAAAACAGCTGTCTATCACAAAAAGGAGTATTACAATACATAATAAAATAAAACCATCAAAATGGCTGTTGAAATAAATAACACATATTCATTTTTAAAAATAGATAATATATTTACAACAGCTCAAAATTCTGAAACTATGGACTAGTATTCAGTAGAAATTCTCTCACCCTAGTCCCCCATCTATCCAGTTTCCACACTCCCTCCAAAACAAGTAACCACTGTTTTTTTAACTCTTTATTTTGAAATAATACAAACTCACAAGAAATTGAAAAATTAATAAAGAGAATTCCTGGCCGGGCGCGGTGGCTCACACCTGTAATCCCAGCACTTTGGGAGGCCAAAGTGGGTGGATCACGAGGTCAAGAGATCGAGACCATCCTGGCCAATATGGTGAAACCCCGTCTCTACTAAAAATACAAAAATTGGCTGGTCGTGGTGGCACGCGCCTGTGGTCCCAGCTACTCGGGAGGCTGAGGCAGAAGAATCGCTTGAGCCCAGGAGGCAGAGGTTGTGGTGAGCTGAGATTGTGCCACTGCACTCCAGCCTGGCGACAGAGCAAGGCTCCGTCTCA